CATTTGATTTTTTATTACTTCTTAGAGTTTTTAAACTTTCATCTGATAAGTTTTGTAGCCATAATTTTACTGTTCCTATAAGCGTTCTTTCTATATATCCTGGTGTCTCTGTCATTACTATTTTGTTATCCATTAATTGTTTTGATAAATATCCTATCCATAATTGGATTGTTTTATTTATATCTGCTACACAGTCTAAATCTAAAAAATCATGTTGTCCAGTTATTGGTTTAGGCGTCCATTTTTTATTTAAATTTTTATCCCATGTAGTTTTTCCTCTATCATATTGTTCATAGTTTTCATTATAATACTTGCTTACATATGTTTCCCAAGAAGCTTTTCAAATAATGTTTTGCTCTAAATTAATTTTTATGCAACCATTGATATTTAATAGCAGTAATGAGATATACTTATATGTTTGAAACCGTGTATAGGAGAGTAAGAGACTCATATAATGTTGGGATAATGAAAAGATATGAAGAGTCATGTTTTGTTGAAATAGTTATATAAGGAGATCATGTAGTATTACTTATTAATTAGTTCCAAACACTAGTTTATTTAATAATATAAGTGAAGAAGAATCTTGCCTTTTGCTTGTTTATAATGAGACATATGTTATCATTGTTTCTAATTTGCAAGTTATCCACCAGCAAATTCAAAAATCACTTTCAGTTATTGGTTATTGATCATCTAGAAGTCTTCTTAAATAATGTAGTTATGTGTTGGCAATCATTCTAGATTTCATGTTTTTTTATATAAACAAATAAACAATCATTAAACAATTTTCTTACCATAATAGGAAGTTCATTCCCTCGAATACGGAAATTAGTAGAAGAAAAGAAAGTAGAGGTAGCTACATGAATTCAAACTAGGGTTGGACAATTATTATTTCAAATACAAATTATGAATGGTGAACAATTAAGTGTTGAATTGAATGCATGAACCTAATTTTACACGGTATGGGACCTTATAGAAATCCCATGCTCACTTGCAGTAAGCTGCATATTCCCATGTAAGAGAGAATCCAGAAAATTTGAGAACGATTGTTATAAGAAGGCTACTCATATGAGATTTTATGCGTCAATCGTTATTCTAATGGATGAACCTGATATGTGGAATTGTACAAAACTACTTCATGTTGAATGTCCTAACTATGAGCCAAAAAGAGGTAAACTATCAAGAAACAGAAGAAAATAACCTAATAAACTTAAAGTCTTAAAAAGAAAAGCAATTGATGAAAAAAAAAGTGAAAAAAAATACTCTGCATCAAATGAAACACATGGTGTAATCATAGATGTTACCAAATTGAGTAAGAAATGGAAGTTAAGAAGGTATATCAAGTGTTTGCAAATTGGTCACAACAAAATAACTTGCAAGAAGAATAGTCATTCCCAAAATTCAATAACTCTATCTCAAACTATCCCGCTCAAATAGATAATTCATTTTGAGTCCACTTCCTTGGTTTGACATATAAATAAATCTCCAAGACCAATAAAAGTATGAAGTCTTTAATAGAAAGGATTCAATGTCTTGTCTCTTACAATTGTATATGTTATTTTTATTCACAACCAAGAAGAACAATGGAGGATAATTTATCTCATAGGTCTGCACAAGCTCATGTTTGCAACATCATGATAAATGCTGAGAAATATATGTAACATGTAAGATATTGTATTAGATTACAAAGTTTTCAAGATACAAGTGCTACAATGGGAAGGTTTAATACATGGAAAAGAGATTTAATGTGGAAGAAAATAGAAGCAATTAACAACTAAGGAATTACAACAAGATTTGTTTAATTTTAGTAGCTACTTGTTTTTTGTTTGAAAATCTTACCCTAACATTTGCTAGTAAAAATTTGAGATTCTTGTCACAAGTTTATCATTATTTTTTTACAATTTAGAATTTGTACTCTTCGAAGCCTCTTGACTAGCCTTTATAATTCAACGGTTTCTTAAGCTAAAAAAGTTTTATTAATTACTTAAATTATTAGATATTAAAGCGAAAAATACTATTGAGCGATTGATTTAAATACTATTGATTTATAAAATACTTGATATTATATTCTACTACCCAAACTCAATGAATATAGAAAAGTGTTACTTAACTAAAAAAGTTATCTTTATTAAATTCATAAAAATCAGCTAATAAAAGGGTTATTTTTCTAGATACAAGCATAATTTTACCTTTAACAAATAAGTTATATAATCTAGTAAAGGTAAATTAAGTCTTAAAATAATGTGATTATTATTTTTAGTTGGCCTTGAGTATATTTTCTTGTTGCATATCAACCCAATACTACCATAGAAATGATATGCATCAAAATCCGTCCACAAAAAATAAGAAGCATATACTGTACTTGCAGTATATTCTTCTAAAACAAGTACTTTTGTAATAATAACCATCAAATACCAAATCCTGCTAAACTAAAATTCAATAGACACTAAATAGTTTAGTTAAAATTAGAGAGAAAATCATAGCTCAACGACCCTGCCCAGAATAAATTACACACACCAATTTATTATTTTATATCCTATAGCAAAGAAGAACCCAACTAATTTTTTAACAAGAGAGAAAATTATGCAAAACACAAAAAAATTAAATATACTACCCAAAAATAGAAATATCAAACACACCCCTAAAGAAACAGAAGAAAAATACATGAATGGTACCATACATGAAGTAACATGCTCGATTTCTTGATCTTGATTAGCCCAAAATTTTGTCTTCTTCCGATGAATGTGCTGACAAGCAAGTTGATTGTGCATTTGAGTTGAAAATATCTATGAAATCAATAGATTCTAGATATGAGTTCAAGTGATCTCAAAGGAAAGGTATTAAGCATTCTTCAAAATCAACAAATGTAGGTCCACTCATTTTTTCAAATTGAGGAGAAGATAAAATAATATACAAATATAATAAATATTTAATATACACAAATAATAAAGTAAAATATTAATATAAGAAACGACCTAATGTTTATCTATCGTTAATAATATACATAATAATGAATCAAAAAGTATTATTCAAACTTCATTCAAATAGCTTCCTTGGAAACCAAATTTGGGTACCCAAAAACACACTTAGTAAAAGTGTTAGTACTGGATTAATATGAATCAAAATAAATGAAATAAATAATAACTTAATATAAAAATCCGTCTTATATACATAGGAGGCCTTGAAAATCGACAATAATTTCATCATCGGCCAATTTTAACATACAAAGTAAATGAACTTAAACTAAATTTTCCGTTTTTTAAAATGGAGAGGCCTCAAAAATCGACAGAGAGATTTTTTTTATTGGCCAACTTTAACCATCTATATTTAATATAAATTACAATAGCAATAACCAAGACTATTTTAAGAAAAAATATAATGGCAACTACAACGATCAATAATTAGTGAGCCACTTATAGAATCAAAACAATAAATAAACTATTTGAGAATAAAAACATTAAACCATAATCATAAAAAGAAAGACTCGACCAAAGGAAACAATACCAACAGTACCTTAGCATAATCAAGAAAAACCAAAAAGAAAATACTAGAAATGATTTTTTTAAAACAAAAGGACGGTAAAAACATTGAACATAGCAGCAAACAAAAGATTTAACTAGGATAATAAAAACAAAAAAATAAATCAACAAACATATTGACACAATTCAACATAACCGTGAACGAGTAACATTCGAAATTAGTTTAGATCAAAAACAAAATGCTTAAAATAACAATGGAGAAAACTTCACTGGAGAAGAAATCAAAAGTCGAATAATAACAACAAAAATAGAGTAACAACGACTTGTAAAATATAAATTGATTTGTACAAAAAATAAAAAGGAGAAGAGATTTGCCTCACTGTCGGAGTCTCACTGGATTTATCTTCACGACGGCTGGTTGTCGTCCACCAGAGTTAGAGTCACCACGGCGCTTCGATTTTTGTTCAACAGAGTTGGAGCCACGCCGGAGATGGAGTTTAGAGCTTTGAGCTCGTTGTTTGATGGAGCTTTGAGCTCACTGATAACCTGCAAAAAACAAACAAAATATCAAAAAGGGATAAAGGGAAAGGACTGGCGGTCATCGGGTCCTAAAGCTTCATGAAGATGGCATCGTTGTTGTTGGCTGTTGTTTTTTAACTGGAATGGTTGGGGTTTGGTTCTGGTTTTTCCGGAGAAGAAGAGTGTGGAGGAAGTAAGGTGGGCTGGAGGAGATTTGGTGATTCGGTGGCGGAAATGGAAGGGAAAAGTTAAGTGTTACAGTTTCAGGTGGTGTGGTGGCGGCTACTGGAAAAATTGAAAATGAGGGAGGAAAGCTTTTTTAGGGATTTTTTCAATCTAGGAAAATTGTAACTATCCACCACCACCTTTATTTTTGGACAAAGTAAGGACTTAAATATGAAATTTTAAAAACCACTTTTGTACAATACTATGGGCTCAAAAATGTGTGCTCAAAACCATTGGTTAATAAAAAATATATATTTGTATGCAATTCTTATATGTGTTTCAATATATTTCTAAATTCTGCTAAAAATATTTAAATAAATATAAACAAATGTAACGAATGTAATTAATGGATTGTGCTAAAATCAATAATGTACAAAATTAACAAATAAAAATCTTAGCATTTTCACAAACAAGGAAAATTATTGATAAATCACATAAAAATTGAAAAACTTGCATTTTGAACTATTTAACAAATAAAATATTTTAAAATATTAACTTTGAAAATATCAAGCCAAAAGTTGGTATCAACAATGACAATGAATGAAACATTCTTACTGTTCTCTAATTCACCTCTTTCATGAAACTCAACAATAGTACACATCACTCAGTTTTAACTGTATTCCATCAATGTTGATAAAAAAACAAAAGATAAACCATTGAGTCCCGAAGCTTTGTCACTTGTGGAACACTCCACCTCCTTGATTGTCCTTTCTAGAAACTTACACTTCTCCCCTCCAAATTGGTTGAACCCTAATCCCCTCAAATTAGGCTAATCCACCTTGCTTCCTCTTTCAAAAGATGTTCATACAAATCAACAACTCCCCCATCTACTTCCTCCTTCTCCACATGGCTCACCCCATTTACCATCTTCGGCTTTATGTAGTTCCTTGTCCCACTTGCGACCTTATTTTAGGATAATTAGGAAACAAAACTACCTTAATTAAAATAGTGAATTTTTAAATAGAAGAGCAGACTTTTGTGGACTCTTTTTAGCAAATAAGTAGGACCAAACATGGATAAAATGTTGATATTGTCATTAAATAATTGTAAAAATAAAAGGGATATGTCATTCTTTTAGGATTTAGCTGAAAAGAAAAATGCGTCCCAATTTTTTATGTAAAATATTTTTATAGTGGGAGGGGTGTGGGTGTGGGGTGTCCCTGTGGGGTGGAGTGGGGATAAGGTGGGCAAATTTATTTTTTTATTTTTTTTGATTTTATTTTTTTGGGTGGGGTGAGTGGGAGGTGGGGGTACAAGTAAAGAAAAAAAAAATATTTTTTGTATGAAAAAATATTTTTTAAAAAATAATAATATAAAGGTGGGGTGGAGTGAGGTAGTAGGGATTGAGGTATTAACAATTTAGCTTTGATTTAATATATTTTTTACTTTAGAAAATTAGAGTGGGTTACAATCATTTTATCCAAACCATATTTGATCAAATTCATATTTACCCATATTTTATTGGGTGGATTGTGGTCCAATCCATTTTAACTCAATTCATACTCAATCCATCCAAATCTAATTTAATCCACTCATTTATCACCTAGTAAAAAGTACACTAAAATGCGATCTGATACCTTCTTCCCTTGGTCTGGGAGGTAGATTATGTAGGCGACAATTGTTCATAGTTGCTCAATCAGGCCAAATAACCGATTAGAAGTATGCTTGAGATTTCCATATGACCTTCTCCCTCTTGGAAACTAGCTAATCAAAAGGAGCAAGGAAAAGGAAAAAGGAGTTGTCCCCCTTTCTCTAGTAACCCTCCGCCGCATATGTATAAAAAGAAGGAGCGAAGAAGGAAGGATAACCATTTTACTTTGGCACATGAGATGGTTGTCCAATCAGAAAGGCAACCTCACTCATTCTTGCCTTAATCATGGGAGGTAAGACAAGAAATGTGTTGAGGCCCAACGAGTTGTTGATTATCTTATAAATAAGAAGATAAAGCGTTAGCGGACCGACTTGACAGGAACCCCTTTGCTCTATTTAACTTGGTGTGGGCTCCTTTCGGCCCTGCGAGAACATATCCGGACACGCACGCTACTCATATCGGTATTAGAAGCCCCCCAGAGCAGGCCTGGAAGACTATGAGTCCCACATTTTATGCGCGAGCCGAATGACGTAGGTGCACAAGAGTACTTCGCGCCACAACCATCTCCTTTTATAGGTTCTGGAACCAATAAAATGGGGGGTACCGCATTGGGCAGAAGACGATCCAAAAGGCGAAGGATCACCTAGCTGAAGGAAGGGGGTGAGATAGGCGAGCGGACCTACTCGAATGAAGGAACAAGAAGGGGGTTGGGGTGCTTCTATATAATCTCTAATCTGAGTCTTTGCCCTATATATGTGGAAATTCTTCTAAAGACCTCCTCTCTTTATAGTCAAGTGGCATTCATCTCCTTTATTAAACCCTCCCCTTTTAATAATAAAAAGTTAAGCATCAAAGCCGAGAAAACCCAACCTATACATAGTTTCGGATATAGCAGGTCCCCCTTTCTTTTACTATATGAAATCAACACTTTGACACCTGAGATTCCGTAACAAGTAGATACTTTCGGAAGTAGCCTTGTAATCTTGCTTGTTCATCCTCGGGGAACTGAACTCACTTGAGATACGAAAACTCCTACAGGTCCCTCTATTCCCTCCACCATACATGGACTTGAAAGAGTACCTAAGGCGGATTAGTGGTTTATTTTTTAAAAAAAAGGATTTTCTTTACCGTAACTTTTAGACAGCTAATAGCTAAGCCACTAATCATACAACTAATAAAATAAAGTCGGTCACTACTAAGACAGCTCATAAAAGTCGTTTTAGGTTCAAGGGCTGCTACTTTAATTGCCAAAGGAGCGGGGCAACTCGAGTTAGACGAGAGGCATTGATGTAATTTCAAAGATGCTCGACCGGACCCAAGAACCAGACAGAAGACAGACCCCACTGTGATACCTCGTGCAAGTTATAGTTAATGACCTGAAAGAACTAGCTTCTTGCTATCAAGCGTGTCTTAGCCTTAGTTTACAAGGAAGATTTCGATCAGTTTTGGGTCAAATAGGAAGAACTAAAAGATTCCACCTCTAGAAAGGGCCTACACCTAATGGCTTAAGCCGTTGTTCCCATTTCCTCGCTGACCCATCATGCAAAAAGTATGATTGAAGAAAAGAAAGTAGAGGTAGCTACATGAATTCATACTAGGGTTGGACAATTATTATTTCAAATACTTATGAATGGTGAACAATTAAGTGTTGAATTGAATGGATGGACCTAATTTTTCATGGTATGGGACCTTATAGAAATCTCATGCTCACTTGCAGTAAGTTGCATATTCCCATGTAAGAGAGAATCCAGAAAATTTGATAATGATTGTTATAAGAAGGCTACTCAAATGAGATTTTATGCGGCAATCGTTATTCCAATGGATGAACATGATTGTGGAATCGTACGGAACTACTTCATGTTGAACGTCCTAATTATGAGCCAAAAAAAGGTAAACTATCCGGAAACAGAAGAAAATAACCTAATAAACTTAAAGTCTTAAAAAGAAAAGCAATTGATGAAAAAAAAA